ATAATGCTGCCAATACATTTGGATTCCATATTATAATCTTTAAGTATGCATATTTATGCACGTTTATATCTGTTTGTAGTTATGTTATTCCTAACCAGTTTGCGATTGGTATGCTTGCCGTAGCATACGAAAAATAATCTGCTTTAGAATTCTTCGCGACAGTCGTCCCCTTTTGGATCAGACGAAGAAAATTTGCACATTGTCACTATAAATTCGTTCCTCACCTCGCAGACGCTATATAAGCAGTTTGTCGTCAAGAACTTAAAGCTGCGGGGTATGAGGAAAAAGATATTTCGCGTTGAAAGCCTTTTGCATGCCTGCCTGCAGAGAGCGGGAAGATCCTTGCAACTTCCGGGTCACGTTCGATCTCTTGCCAGCATACAAAGCTTTTTTGGGGTAGGTAAAGATTTTAACACTAAACATTTTAGATGATTTTTGTTTAGCCTGAAGATCGGTCGATCGATGCGATGAACTATGGGTTTTACAATGCAGAATTCAAGGCGATGACTTTACCGTCGTATTTTCCTACTTTTCTATATCTCATACGCGTTCCACTGAATATTGTTCACGAATGGTTGAAGTTGCGAATTCAGCAGGAAACCTGCCTCAATCCCGATCCTCTTTCACTCGATGAGGTACCGCTTTTAAAGCTTTAGTTTAAATTTCACACAGCGAGCAAATGTTCCGCTTATCTGTGAACTGTGTTTTTCCATAGCTGTAGTGCATTACCATGTGTAACTAACATTTTAAGATTTTAAATGGATTTCATTGGAAGCTGGTGAAGTGTTTGGTATAAAATGGTTAATCGGAAGTTTCTTCAGTTATAGCATAGAGAATGAAGTGTAATATATGGCCATATCTGTGACCAATTCGTTAGCTATAGTTATAATGTAGGACTTATCGACTGATCGTTGAAAGACTGCAAATTCAAATTCCATCCCGTCGGCTACTATTTAAGCTCTCCGAGGAAAATATACTGGAAATCATGTGCACCAACAAAGTATCACTATATATGCGACAAAGCTCGGAACTGTATCTATTGCTTTCCACGTAGATATCAAGCCTTCTCGTTTGTTTCCATTGTAACTGAGATTGGCGCCACGTTTTCTTAGTAATAAAGTTGTTAAAAATACAGTTTATAAGGGTACGGTCGAAAACAACATTAATCCATGGTTCGCTCTTTTAAAGTGAATTACAGAGATTAGGGGATTTGGCAAAGCAGGCTACGAGTGACACCTTTGTTTTGATTGCCAACTTTGGGTCAGACGGCGTTATTCGTCACTACCGCTGTGTATCTGTTTTGGCCTAGAAGCAGTTTTTGTAGTCGTTATCGCACCTCAGCTGCATATGTCTTCCTGTGGCCATCGAATCATTGCAAATAGTTTTAATGTAGATATAACTACCACGACGCCGTTATCAGTTAAAGTTTCATCACGGATGATATCTGAGGAATGCGTACTTTTAGAAAGTATTTATGAGGTAGTGCTGATGACTTTTTGTTGTAATTACCTGCTGAGGGTTTATCTCGATGAAGATAGTCTCGGCAAGCATTCCATGTAGTCAACTGTGTCCTTTTTTAACTGATATAAGCTACTTCAAGAGGTGAAGGCCAATGATTCTGACCAGAATTTGAAACATTAATCTCTGAAGGACTAGTTCCATGACAAGTACTGCAGATTATTTCGTATCTTTTATTGTTAGACTGTTGAACCCGTTTCAGCTGGGGTAATTAGTCTTTGCAGCTGATGCGGTGAAGAAGGTACTAGTTGAGGCCGCTTTTGAGGAGGTGCGACGGCTAATCGTTGATGTCATAACTGCTGCATCAGGCAGGTGATCTTGTATGGCTTATTCACTCAGTTATCTGCAGTTGAAACATTTCGAAAATGTTGCACATAGCAGTACATTTTGAGCATCGTTGTTGCTGTTTGTGACTGCCATCATGGTTTTAATGGGCAGTAGCCATATTTATTAATTATAGTTAACCCAAGACTGTCGGGATTGCCTTGAATACGCAGTTCATGTTAAGAGTATCTATCAGGAAAACGTGATTTTGACCGTCGACGATAGCAGACTGCTGGAAGAGTTGCTTTATTCGGATATTCATGATTTCACCGAGGATCTGTCGCAAATGTTCGATGTAAGTACTCTCTGTTAATTAAATTGATTATTACTGAATGGCAAGTTTTACAGCGCTTCTAAAAATTAGAATAACGACGATACCATGTGAGAACTGTATGGCTTTATGTATGCAAATGACAAATAAAATACAACTTTATTACGGCGTTTTTTGCAACTCATGGGTGTTGCGACCGCTGCTTCTAAATTTTCAATGGTTTTGTTGATGCAGGTCGAAAAGTTTTTCGAATAATTGTGATGCTAAACTAATCAGGCAAACTCAACCGACCTGACCCGATATCAGATCAGCAAGTATGATCCTTGTGACCGTTTACCGCTCGCCATGTAGTTTTTTGAAGGGAGTTTCTTGGAAGTCGGGTTTTAGCACATGCAGTGGCGTCATCACCATTACAGCCTGTGGTTGAACATCACGTTCAAGAACGTTCAAGTTGTAAATGGCGGTTGCCGCTTCTGACAGTTGTATGGTGTACCGTTTAGCGTTGCTCATACTCAGCGTGATTTCTCGTTTTTTGCTTAGAAACTATCTGTTTGTTTTAATTCTAAAACTGGTTCAGTCATTGCGATGTTCAGTTGTTTCTTTTTGAAGATTTATTTGGACTTTTTCCGTATGTGGGTTCGTCACCACCATGCACATCTATACCAGGTGACCACAGAGTTTAGCCAATCGTTGCTCAGTCGGCTGGAAAGCGAGTGGGTATTTGCGAAGAAGACATCTCGCTACGTATTGTTCGGCGAGGCAGATGCGGCTAAGCGTTTTTGGTAGGCAGAGTGTTATTTCGTGCCTTTTTTTAAAAGTTTTTTTTATTGGTCCCTGATTTTAGTTGCGTCTGCAACGAGATGGTGCAGAATATTGAGGAATTCGTCGAGGATTACTGCGATGCCAGCCGTCTTCACCAACCAAACGGTGAAGATGATGAGGCGAACGAGGACGAACTTTCACGCAGTCCCACAATTTTTTTCCCACAAAGGTTTAATTGACTTATTTAAATTTATATAATTTACATTTTAAAATACGATTACCTTTCTCCAGCCCTGTCTCTTTTCAAGGGTTAGTTCTATTTCCACTTGGAAACTAACTTAACTTGGTTTTATCTTCACTCGACCCCATCAGAATCCAAGTCCTGGTTTTACTAACGCATCACTCAACTAAACTGTAATTGTTTCCGTGCCTGAACTCTGCTCTAACCCTTATTTTAAAAGCACTGTGACCATAATGAAATCG